CACCCATTTCTTCAACATTATCCATTCTTTCACGTACTATTTCTTTTTGTTCTTCTTCCACCCATCAAAATGTTGAGATACAATTTTTTTCTACATCTTACGACGACCGGGTGTTCATACCAGATGGATGCAATTACTATAGGCAGTAATCCGTCGTCTCATTGTGGAAAATTCTGTAGAGAAAAAAAAAAAGAATTCCCAAGGCGCAATACCTTTTAATTTGTAATATTACTGCCTATAGTGATTCATTGTGAGAAAATTCGAATTGTTTCCTAAATCGTAATAAATTTGAGCTTTTGTAATTTAAATTTCGTTAATGTTTCTCTCTTCAAAATTATCTTAATATAATATTATCATAATATATTATAATCATCATTATCATTATCATAATCATAATCATAATTATCATAATGTTTTTTTCCTGAAAATGCTGGGGATTTCTTTTTCTATTTGAAGTAAAAGAAATGATCATTTGATGGTAGGAAAGATGTGGTACCAATCGTTGACCGTTAAGATGGATGTAGTGATATGTTAGCATTCTTGCATATTACATTTCTCATTAGTAGGAAGGAAGAAAGTTACGATTATTTTAGTGGATTTCAACTTTTACAGATGGATAATTGAATATAGCACGAAGCAAGAAGTTGCTTTCTTCAACTTCTACAATCTATTCCATTGCTGCTTTTTTGAATTCATTCAAATCTAATCGAAACGCAAATAAAATTCTCAGAATTTACCTGTTGTTTTTTTTTTGATGAATTCTGAAATTTTAATGAAAATTTTCAGATTTAACGTTTTTTTTTAATTATCTTTTCGCAGGTTAATTACATCAAAAATTGTGTTATTTTAATAGATAGAAAAGGTTACATTTCATATGAAGATGATATTTCTTACATTTTCTACAGTATATACGTTTGTAAAAGTTTATAATACTAATTCATAGCCATTTTAGTAAAGATGAAATTTGTCATGGAATTGTTAAATTTAATTTTGAAATCTCTAAATTCTGCTTGATAAGTTTTGCTGATCGGTTATCCCAACTTATGAGCATTCTTAAATTGTATGAAAAAATATTGAAAGTAATTTGAGTTCATTTGATAAAACATTATAATAAATGCATTTGACCCAATTTACATAAGCATGAATAATGTGCCGCCATATTCATTCATTCCATAATTTTTGTTTCTGATCTTCTTATCTTTGGAAAACTCTTTCACTTTCAAAACATCACTCCCTAAAAGAGTGATCGATTTAATCGCGGGAAAGAAATGAGAAACCATTAGCGAACTTTTTTATCGCTAAATAACGAAGTATCAGATCAGCAGCTTACGGTGTAATTTCCGAGCCATTTTCACATAAACAGAGGATACTGCAAATTTTTGGTACGGAAAATGGCTACCCTATACAACTTCCAAAACAAGTAATTAAATATGAGGCAGAACTAAGCAGATATTAGATTTTAATTTGTTCTATGGAAATTCTTCCATGTTAATATTTCTTCCACCAGAACACAGATGTATTTGGTAAAGAAGTATTATTCATAAAATACAAAATGGTCGTAGTCAGATTTTTAAGTTCAAGTAATTGATGACAAGGATAGATTTAGAGTAAAGTCTTTATGAATAGAGCAGTTCATTTTTTGCAGTCATTTCTTTAAAAAGTTTATACTTTTATAGCATCTTTTTGGAAAGAGAGAGAGTCTTACAGGGAAGGCTTATCAACCAACTTCGTAAGCATTTCTTTCGGTTTATAATAACCATCAATTTATATGGGAGAATATCGGGTCGAGCGATACTATTACCAAACTATCTATTAGTAATACTAAATTCAATTAGCTAATTCACAACTAATGCTAATTCAACAACCAATCATTTTTGCTATTTACTGCTTTAATTGCTTAAATTGGAAGTAGAGAGGTAGGTAGCTGCTAACTGATAACAGAATGTCATAAAAAATAGCAGCGGTTATGGAGAATGATAATCAATATTTAAGATACATATATATATTCCTTATCAGTGACGACTATATGGTATGTTACTATCAAACATCAATGATATATTCCATCTGTGTTTATGTTTGGAAGTATTTTTAAGGAAGGAGTAGATATTATAAATTATCATTTGTTATCATTTCTGAGGAAGATAATTGTAACTCTAACAAAACTGGATTATTAGGGAAAGATGAGGGGGGGGGGGAGAGGAGTGGTTCTCTTCTGATTATTTTCAAAATAGAGTTGTTGGTACTCATTTTAGAAAAAAGGAAATAATGTATTATTGCGCACTCATTCCTCCCTATCGAAACCTCTCTAACGTGTTTTTGTTCAAAAACTGTGAAGCTGTCAAGTAAACATATGCACACATATATGTATATATACACACATACATACGCATACGCACACACACACACACATATATCTACATACACACATACATACATATACTTATATACACATACACACACATACATGAATTGAACGGGAAGAATTTCCCACCGTTCATTTTATGATGCAAACATTCCTTTTTTTTCTTTCTAATGTGAAAACTTCAAATGATTCATTTAAGGATGATTTCAATACTCTCTCTCTCCTTCCCTCTCTCTCTTTCTCTCTCTCTTTCCCTCTTCTTACTAAAATATTTCTCATCCTATATTCCCTGTAAAGCAGTAAAAAAGGAGAATGGAACTCATAAAGGGAACTTTCATTTGTTCAATTTTTTGATTTCTTTCTTGAGAGATAGGAAGAAAGGTAAATAATACTTTTATGATCCAGTTTGTTCTATGATTGTTTCTTTGGGTTTTTATATAATATTGAAATGAGTAAGTATTTTGTCAATAATTTTGATAAAATGAAAAAATTTCATTTCAGAATTTTTAGGATATTGTTTGTTTATCTTTCTGTTTACCTTTAGTTCTTTTTCTTAACGTATTAGTGGGATTCAAAGAAAGGAATCGAATTTCTCTTCGATATATACGCACGTATACAATTTTGTATGATTTTAATTTTGGATTAAAAAATTATGACCATATTTAGAATCAAATTTTCTTGCATCCAATACTGACTGATATGTATATATATATAAATGAGTATTTCATTAGAATTTTCACTTCACTAATAAATTTAACAGTTTCATCAAAAATTCACAAAGTGGCAGTCTCTTCTATTTAATTTATAGCAAAAAAAAGGTTAGATGATATTTTGCATATTTGGGTTTTCGTCGTCAACAATGTAACAACGCTCTTGTACGATAGTATCTTATTGGGAGTAGAATGGAAGACAAAATTATAATTTTGCTTAAGTTATATTAATCCGAAAATTTTTGAATTACACTATGCTAGCTTTAAAATGAATTGCTAACTTTAAAAGTAACATTTGTATTTTAAAGAATTTTTATAATTAATTTTTAAGTGTAAAAATTCTCTGCATAAAATGATCTTTTTTCATTTTTGCAAATATGTTGAGATGATGATGATGATGATGATGATAATGATTGGAAATCTTTCTTAATCGATCTATCATCATCTTCATACAGAAACGAAGTGTTTTTTTCTTTTCTTCTGTTGAAATGATTACCTGAATATGGCGAATGTTGCAGAAAATTCCTGCCAGATGCACTTTTCAATAACTTGAAATCAAAATTGATCGATGCTTTTACGGCATTATCAGAAGATTTGATTAATGGAACGACTGAACAGATTCTGATTCGTGTTTGATGATTCTTCTTTTTTAATGTTTAAGAGTACATATAGGGATCAAATTCAAGCCTTTTGAATATAATTCGTCTATTATATTTGATGTGCTTTACTCGTTGTTCCTTCTTTGCACTCATAAAAAAAGAAAGTTTTGATTTTGATGCTATTTTTCATTTCTGATGTCTAATATATTCGTCTACCTATAATTCTAATTCAAAGGCTGCTAAAATTATTCTGTGAAGTTTGAAGTTTGATGCATACAGAAAAGAATTAAATGAATAAAGTTTAGAAACAGCCTAAATAATATATTTTGAGATTTTCCTTCTATAGCCAGAAAATTCCGATAGAATATTGCGCAGAATTTATTTTGTATGAAATGAATACACAACGGTTTCTGTTATCCTTCTCAGTGCTTACTTCAGTGCTCCAGCGATTTTTTCACGTTGTGAAATTTGCAACTGAGTTTTTGTGATTTTCAATACTGTAAATATTAGATTTCTAATCTTACAGTAAACAGATTTTATCATCATCACAGCAAATATATGACAATTCGAATGATTGGCGGTGACTCATCTTGATTAATTTCAATTAATAATGTTTACTTGCTTTTGATTGTCATCATTATAATAATTAACATTATTCAAATATTACTACAGATTCATCTCCAATTCATGCTTTACGTAATTTCACTCAATTTAAATTCAATACTTAATTTATATCCTTAGCTATTATTGGCACATATATCTTTGCGTCATTAATGCTATTTAATTTTAAGAATTCCAATTTATGTTTCTGATGTTGAATAAGATTTTTTTTTGCCGTAAATTCCATTTTCCTCCTTCAAACAATCATTTTTCTAATTTTCATACTATGCGTGTGTGTGTGTGTGTGTGTGTGTGTGTGTGTGTGTGTGTGTGTGTGTGTGTGTGTGTGTGTGTATGTGTCAGTTATATTATATAATTTAATTTCTTATTGTTTCTTAATGTCTTATAAATTAAGTCTCATGCTTATAGTTACTTTTACTCTATACTTGAACATTATATAATTCACTACTTATAGTTATTCTATACTTCATAATCCTATACTTTCTGAAAGATTTATTTGAATGTTGCGCTATTTCATTCATTTTTACATTTTACCTTTTGTTGCAATGCGTGACTTTTTTTGTTTTTTAGTTTGAAAATTTGCATGAAACATATCATTTCAGTGTGAGCAGAGTTCATTTCCGGTTATTGTTGAGGATTTTTGGACGCCAATTTATTCGTACTTCTCTCAATTATCTGAAAAGTTAATAGGAAAAGACGAAAGACGAAATGTCATCCGGAAAACAAAGCGCTGAAAGTGAATATGAAATTGCTTATCGTTCAACAATCCAACCGCGTACAGCTGTACGTACACAAAGTCGACAATCCGGAAGTTACAGCAGCGGTACCGTAGTTGGTGGAGGTGGCGGTAAGGCCGTTTTTTTTTTCCTGAGAATTTTATGCAAATTATTGTTAAGTCAAAACAAAGGTTGAGATGTGGAAAGGAAATGCCCAAGAATGATATATCATGTCTTTATTCAAATCAATTGGTTGAAATGCAAATTAGTATTCCAACCAGCTTTCATTTTGAAATAGTATATGCAACACTATATATTGCAAATTAGTATTCCAACTAGCTTTCATTTCGAAATGATATATGCAACACTACACATTCTGCTTCAGGCATAATTTTGCTCAAAACTTGAATTCATCCATTATAGCGTTTGGAAAATAATAAAAATATTTTTCTTTTTCCCTATCTAAATATTTAATTGCACGATTGCTGTCGATAATTTGAAAATTGTGGACACTTTATGCTTCCATCATTCATACGATACAAATTTTTTTCATAGATTTAACTGCTATTTTTATAGGAACTAAGAATTTAAATCATTTTAAGCATCGGAAATAAAGTATTGCGTACTTTACTTTAGAGCATAAATGAGCTTAATATGACTGTAATTCAACTACGAAATGGACTGGACACACACACAAATATATTAAATTGAAGATGGATACCATTATTAGTAGAACTGATTACCGCAAAGTTAAAGACTGCCATATATGGGCGATTGCAGTAATTATTTGGAAATTTTTATGTTAGCTAAAAAAAAATTATGAAACTATTGAAAATTAATCCGAAAAAGACAAGTCTAAAGATACACTATGAATCTTTCAAACTTTTTCAACAATCTTCTACTAATTAATATTCAGCCTTATTAAACTCATATGCTTATCATAAATTGAGGCCATTATCGTTTGCCGAGTAAGTGCATAATCTCGCTTATTCCTGATAAATTTGAAGGTACATGAAGGTTTTGTAAACAAATAAAATACATTATAATAGTATGCAGGAATTTCATCTGTGTTAAATCTCTATTAACATTAATGAAGAGGATAGCAGCAGTATCGGTCGTTTGCCAGGATTACAGTGGTTGCTTTTTTTCGGTGGCATGAAGAGAAGAAACCTGTTTTTCATTTCTATCACAACTAAAACGTTTTCAATATCTTCTTTTCACCTATTATTTATATTTTCATGTTCACGACAAATCATACTAAATATTAATTAAACAAGTATGTAGACTATTACAAATGAAGTAAAAGATTTTAGTATGTGGATAGTTCGTCTGATTTTTCCTGCAAATACGAAATAAATTAATTAGCAATTAGCAGTTACTACTGTTGTCATTACTTATCCGATCTTCTCTATAAATTCAATATCAGTAGATACTGGTCCCAATAATTGTAGTTTAGTATATTTTCCTATACACATACCTACTACTTATACACACTTTTTTCTATATAAACTTCAAATTTTTTAAAAATATTTGAAAAAATTTATTAACTGAAATGATTATTAAAATAAATGCATCGTTGAAGTTTACAATATGTTTTAGAAAATGAAAAAGCTTGCAAATTTTCTAATCGAAAAATTAATGAACTTGAAAAATAGTCATTCTTAATCAACGGAATTCATCTGAACGGCGACATTGTTGCACTGTTTTTAACCTTCACATTTTACAGTATTTCCAGTTGAGAAGGTTTTTGCTTAATTTCCTTTCCTCTTCATACCAGCCAGCGTATTATTCTCCAACAATGAGCATGAAATATTAATTTTATGCTCGATGCATTATCAAAAAATATTCCTTCTCGAAGTACAGACGAAAATTCATTTCTCTTTTTTTTTCAATCTTTTCCGCAAATCATTGAATCAAATGCTTTTTTTCATTTCCAATAAATTAATTCAAAATTATCTCACAGAGAAAAAAGAATGAAATGAAAAGCAATTTTATGAGTAAATAAATTCATTGTAAATTGAATATCAATGAAATTCTGATTATTTGGAAAGGTTAAAATATTTAGAGATACATTATCATCCTATGCAATATTTCAGGCCTATATTATAAGGAGCAGTGTAGTAGGTATTCGTATTATTAATATACACATATATTATAATGAATATACGCATTTTGCTTATTATCATTTGAATTTACTTTTTCATTTCACATACTTTCAACAGCTCATAAAAATATTATCACTCATTGATAAAGCTTCGCATTAATCTCACGTAGGAATAATGATCATAATCTAAGCTATTTATGTATTACATTTTATTATTGCATTGCTAAGTTTTTTCTTAAGACATCGTTAATTGATGCTTCAGCTATCATCATACTGTGATGGCTTTGGCTTTATGTTTGAGATAGGCTTAGGCTTTCATCTAAATGATAGGAATAGAAAATAGAGAACTAATTCATTTCTAATCGATTGTTGTCTTTTTTTTTTGTTACTTTCAATGATTTAATGATATAAGAAAGAAACAGAGCTATCGTCGAAAATTCTGGAAACTTTTCAACTTTGACATTTTATTGTTATAATTTAAATTGAATTGACCTCTGAAAATAATTCATAAAATGACCTAATGGAATTGGTATTCAATTCAAAACATTCATTTTACTCGTTACATTACATTTTCTTCAGAAATAATTGACTAGAAAAAAAGAAACTCTAAGTGAACTTATGAAAGAAAGGAAATTTCATTTTTCATTGATTTATTTTTTTTCCTCCATCATCGATCGTGATCCTGTTTTTGATCAGTCTTTATTTTAAAGTTGAAGTTCAAGTACCTTTTAAGCAGTCAATGTTTACTTATGAATCCACTAATAAACAGGTTTCTTTTTTTTATATCATATGGGAAAAAAAGATCTTATTTATAGGTCTTGAATATATGTTTATATTACATTATTGAAATAATAAAACTACTGCAATGTTGCTTTAAAGTAATTTTTCCGCTTTAGCTTTCTTTATTGTATAAGATTTCGAATTATGCTAATTATGCGATTGATATGGAAAATCTTCCAATAACATTTCTCCTCGATATATACGATCTCGCGGGAATTGCGATCAAAAACTTAAAGTGCGTTCGTTATTATTTTATGTATGTAGTGAAGTGAGTAATTGAGGAATAACAAAATGATTTGCATATGAAATTTCATTGTACTCTTTTTTTTCGTACAAATAATTCCAATCAGGAAGTTATTTCGAATTGCAAAAAGATCGTTCATTTTCTTTTTGAGAGGAGTGATAAGTAAATTTGAAGGACATCCTTCCTAATCGTGAGTGCATAATTTTTTAAAACGAACAAAATTAGATAATTGAATGAGAAGTTTAAAATATTCCGAAAATTAAATAATACTTCAACTATTTCTTAAATAGCTATTTATCCTATCTATCCATCATATAGAAGAATAATTTTTGCAAAATGAATTTCATTATACTTTTCTGCTAATATTAGGGTACATGTTAGTGACAATCTTAAACTTTCCTTTTCCCTTTTTCTTATGCAAACCGATGTTGTATATTTATTTACTGATTGCTTTAGTAGCGTTTATTTGATGAAAAGATGGGGAAGATTGTATTTTGTACTATCCGATTGAAATGTCTCAAAGAATATTTCATCGATGACTCATCGATTACTTTCTGCCTAATTACTGCCGCTAATAGTGTTGGTTAGTTAAATAAATAGGCTGTCATAGGTGGCACACTACCATATAGTGATTTTTGATAACAATTCACTGAACATTTGAAAGTATACAATTTTATTTTAAAACATACAGATGACACACAGACACATACACACACACACACACACACACACACACGTAGATGAATGCGCCACAGCATATGAGAAGAACAGACGGTTGCACATAGAAGGACAGATAGATGATTCTGTCTTGTTGACATTGAAACAATATTGACTGTATACTTTATATTGTCATGATATTGCCAATTGTTTGTAACGCGCTGTTAGTATTATTAGTAAAAGTTGTTTTCTTTCGATAATATTTCATTTATTTATGATAATTATTAACCTTATGCAAAATAATGTAATTCAAATAAGATAAGAGTTTAGTTCGTTAGTTCAGATCAATCGGATAGACTCATTAAATTACATCGTTTAAAACAAAAAATCGAATAGTTTATATTATTTGAGATTTTTACGCAATAATTAATCCAGATTATCTGAAATTAAAAAACCTTCTAATGTAGCTATCATCGATGTTATTTAAATGATAGCCAAAAAGAATTTAGTCTTTATTTTATATTAGCATATTTTGACCTGAATAAATTATATTTATTCAGGTTAAAGGTCATTGAAACTTTGACCATTCCTCGCCGAGCATCATTGAGATTAGTTGAAATACGTTATTACCCATTTCAGATTAACTTAATGTCAGTCATATTATAGAAATAATTTATTTTGCTATAAATGTAGTACTACTCGTTTTGGCGCAACTGGTTAAAGGATGTTCGCAAGAGGTAGGTCATGGAAGGGAAGGAAGAAAGGTGAGAAGGGAGTTTGAAGTGAAGGTATATGAGTTGTCTCTCCGCATGCGTCCTCTTGTTTGTATGTTTGTGTGTGTGTGTGTGTGTTTGTGTGTCAGTAGTCTCATATATCGACATTCTTGTTCTTACTGTTAGTGTCACATGAGAATTGCGGAGCAGAATTCTCGATGTGATCGTCGGTGATAGTAGTAGCAATGGCTCGGTAGATGACTTTTCCTAATATCAATCACTAACAGTTACATTATAGCCATCTGCAACATTACGATAATTATTCCATTACCACTACTATGAGCATCTTAACTATTTGTTGAATATTAGAAGTGAAATTTCGATCATCGATGAATCCTTCCCAGCATTGATGGAATTTGAGTTAATGAATCATCAAGAAATCTTGAATGAATCATCGTTTTTAAGCTGATAGGTCAGAAACTGTTTAAATAGAAAGGGCATATTCTTCAAATATTTATGAATTCATATTAGATGGAAATGAAGCGTGTTTTGTTGACTCATATCTCTTCAATCTCAAATTTTTCTTATAATTTTACTCATTTTATAAGGAAAATTTACTTTGTGCCTGTGAAATTCAAATTTACGGTTTGGTCAGTTCCTATTATTATCAACTATTTACTTTGTGCCTGTGAAATTCAAATTTACGGTTTGGTCAGTTCCTATTATTATCAACTGCTTGTTATTGGATTCTTTAGTCATATTCAAACAAAATAATAATGTATTCAAGTGACACAATTCGATCGTTACCTGGAGCCAGTGGAGGTAAGTTAATTAACAATATAGTTGATGGCCGATATTGTCAATTTTGAATAACTAAGTTGCTTGAGTGTTTTTTTTTCAAATATCGACATTAACATTTTGTCTTAACAATCCTTAACATTTTTTGCAGGAATTGTTTATTGAAATAAAAACCCCTGAATTTGCCTACTTCTATTGTAAGAGCCAAATCTTTGATTCAATTTTGATTCATCTTTTAAAATTTCAGGCCGAGTGCTAAAAATGGTCACCGAAATGGGCTCAGCATCCATTGGCGGTATTAGTCCAGCTTTGAGTGCGAATGCCGCAAAATCATTCCTTGAAGCAACTGATAAAGAAAAAAAAGAGATGCAAGGATTGAATGACCGGCTTGGAAATTACATTGATCGAGTAAAGAAACTCGAGGAACAGAACAGGAAATTGGTTGCTGATCTTGAGGAGCTGCGTGGTCGATGGGGAAAAGATACCAGTGAAATTAAGGTAAATTTGATAAAATCACACGAACTCATTTATATGAACTGAAATCAGTTATTATGCTTGGTTAGTGAATTTTCCCTTTAATCAAGTTATATTTCATCTTATATCAGTACGGAAATGAAGAAGTTAGTTTAGGTGCCATTACGTTGCAAGCGAAAAAGGATCGTCTGATTGGAATGTTTCGTTCGTTTAAATCAATCAAACTTTTTTATTTTCATCAATTCACAATATGAAAAATGGAGATGATGTGCAGTTTGGGAGTTCAGTTATGTCGTCGTTCCCATCCATCAGAAATGTACCCTTAGCCAGAGCCTAAATGAGGATAATTCTTTGCCCATTGTAATTTCTAAAAATTTAATTGAAGTATTTGGCATTGTCAAATATCCCTTAGCATAAAAAGTAATTGCTGGGACTGTTAGAGTTTTTTAATATATTTATTTCATTGGTTTAGGTGAAAATTAACAATGGAATTGTATTTAGCTGAAACATAATTTTTCAGTTTCCAGAACACAAATATTTCATTATGAGCAGTAAGAAACTTTTACTATGAAAATGTTTTTTAGAAATATAAAATGCACTTTAATTATTAGCACCAATTAGTGTGCATATTTTATTACGTAATTTTTTTTGGCTGAATTTTGCCAGATGTTACAATTTCCATTAGTTAGGATTAGTGCAACGATGTGTATGATAACATGCTCTTAGAAAAATTAGATTTTGTAACATTGATATGTCTCTTTGAGAACCATAATTTGGTGAGACTTTTGCTACTCAGATGGTCGAACTTGAAAGAAATAAAGAGAAGGATGCAAAAAAAGATTCTTTGTTTTTCTTAACAAATTTACATTTTAACTTAGGCTATTTCCAAGCAGAATGTTATCTTCGATACGTTGTAAATTATGGTAATACTGAAATTAATGTACAAGAGAATTAAGTCGTTATTGAATATTCATTCGTTTAGATGTGGTAGTAAAATCAATAAAAAGTGGAATGTTCTTAAAAAGTGCAACGTTTCTTTTCAGATACAGTACTCTGACTCGTTGCGTGATGCTCGGAAGGAGATTGATGATGGTGCAAGACGGAAGGCTGAAATTGATGTCAAAGTAGCACGGCTTCGAGATGACCTCGCAGAAATTCGCAGCCGGTTCGCCTCATTTCCCTCTTCAGTAACTGTATACCATAATATTAAGAAATAAGGAAAAGAAATACTGGTGAAACTTTTCTCAAGTAATCATTAAAGAAATAGTTAAGAAAGAAAAAAGGAAGAAAATGTTCTCAAATTATCATTTAAAAAAGTTGTTAAGAAAGAAAGAAAACAAAGAAGGAAAATATTCTTCCTTCTTTCTTTTACTTTCCAAATAATTATAAAAATAAAACCACACTATCAGAAAGTATTAAGAAAAATGTTAATAGACCGGTAATGCTGTCGTGACGTGTCCCTGATTCATTAAATTGAAGGAACTTTTAGATATTCGAAGTGATTCTAAAAGAAGGGACATATTTTAGTTTAATTTTCCATTTTCAAATGTACAATTTTTACTTTAGCTACGAAGATGTACAACATCGTCGTGAAAATGATCGCGAAAAGATTAACCAATGGAAGCATGCAATTGATGATGCGCAAAGTGAACTAGAAATGCTTCGAGCTCGTTGGCGTCAACTGACAGATGAGGAGAAGCGGTTGAATGGAGATAATGCTCGCATCTGGGAAGAACTTCAGAAAGCGCGTAATGTGAGTGTTTAGATGTTTTTTGAAATTTCAATGAGCAATCTAATGTGGTTCCATAAAATGATGACTTATAACAAAATGAACAGAAGTGGGGAAGATGAAGCGTGTGGATACAAATAATACTCTTTATTCTGTCGAGTTATTTCTATTGTTCTGATTAATTGTTGACAATTCAGAAGAAAATTTTATAGGATTTGGATGAAGAAACCTTGGGACGAATCGATTTTCAAAATCAAGTACAAACGTTAATGGAAGAATTAGAATTCTTGAGACGCGTACATGAGCAGGAGGTCAAAGAACTTCAAGCTCTATTGGCTCAAGCTCCAGCTGATACTCGTGAATTCTTTAAGAACGAGCTGGCTTTAGCTATTCGTGATATCAAGGATGAATATGATTACATTGCTAAACAAGGAAAGCAAGACATGGAAAGCTGGTATAAACTGAAGGTGCTCATTTCTTATAAATCGTTCAATTGTATACTGAATTATGGTCCCCTGAACGTAAGGTATGAGGGAAATTGGGGAAAGATTAAATTTCTTGGTCCGAAATTTACCATAAAAGGCACAAACTTATCATTTAAGTACCATTCATTCGAATTCTTATTAAGCAAGACTTCAAATTTTCTCTAATTAAAAAATTTGGATAGAGAAATTTCCAAGAAAAGCATGTTTTTGATAATTATTAATGATCTTAGGTATCAGAGGTGCAAGGCACTGCAAATCGTGCCAACATTGAAGCGAATTATCAGCGCGAAGAGGTGAAACGCATGCGCGATAACATTGGTGACCTTCGTGGTAAACTCGGTGACCTTGAAGCTAAAAATGCTCTGCTTGAAAAAGAAGTGCAGAGTTTAAATAATCAGGTGCGGTGATTATTACAACAAAATTGAAGCCATTGCCGCATATAAAAATCTTCACCCAAACACACTATGATAAACCTTCCTTAGTTGTTTGAAGTTTCGTTGCTTTCTTTTGTTTCTATTTGAAGTGAGATCGTTTGAATTTGCAGCTCAATGATGATCAGAGACAATACGAAGCAGCCTTAAACGACCGGGATGCGACTCTGCGTCGTATGCGTGAGGAATGCCAAACACTGGTGGCTGAATTGCAAGCACTGCTTGATACAAAACAAATGTTAGATGCTGAAATTGCAATTTATCGAAAGATGCTGGAGGGTGAGGAAAGCCGGTAAGTGCCATTTATCAGCATCACTTAGATAAAAGATTGTTTTAGAAATAGAAAAGTCTAGATTCCTTTTTTCTGCACATATTTAGTGTCGAAGTCGGTACTTGATTCAAGTTCATAACTTTGAAGCAATGGGTATAAATTTCACTAAGTACTAAGAAGTGTAGGTGTACACTGCCCGATAGATATTTAGGCTAATTTCTTGTTATCCCAATGGTTTTTTATTTAAGAACTCAAGAATCAAGAATTTAAAAAAAGAGATGAGTTATACTCATAAGCAGATGCTGTGATCTTTATGGTAATTTTTTTTTAATAATTGTAACAATTTCTGATAATTAATTAGATAGTTAATAGCTCAATTCTAAGCTAGCTTCATCTTTTCAGAAACAATTTCAAAAGTGATGAATGCAATTATTTGCTAGTTTCTCTTTGTTTAAGTCTACTGTGACATTTCAGTGTTGGCCTTCGTCAAATGGTTGAACAAGTGGTGAAAACACATTCACTACAGCAACAAGAAGATACGGATTCGACGCGTAACGTACGCGGTGAAGTTTCTACTAAAACAACATTCCAACGCTCAGCTAAAGGCAATGTTACCATTGCAGAATGTGATCCGAACGGAAAATTCATCATGCTCGAGAATAGTCATAGAAGCAAGGTAAATAATATTTTAAGAGATCTTAGGAATCTTATGAATGATTCTATTTCGCATTGATTATTAGTGAGTGCGTATATTTTTCAAAAGATTTCTGGATTCTGTTGTGTTACTTCTAATTTGCCAGAAAAGATTTTCAGATTTCCAAAGAGCTATATTTTCTAATTCATTTTCAGGATGAAAATCTTGGTGAGCATAAACTTCGAAGAAAACTTGACAATCGACGAGAAATTGTTTATACCATTCCACCGAATACAGTTTTAAAAGCTGGACGTACAATGAAGGTATATATTCTATAAATTAAAGATTATGCTCTGTGATTGAAAACAAATGCCATTTCATTTTTTCAGCTGTTCTGTAAATTCGCTGAATTTGTTTCATTTTTATAAGCGGATATGCATTAACTTCGATATAAAAATTAGTCAAGTCCTAATTCAGAATCTATAAAAATGAATTATTTCGGTCCCCTTGCAACTAATAAATTTTCGTCTTCTTAGATCTGGGCGCGTGATCAAGGAGGCTTGCATAATCCACCGGAATCTTTGGTATACGATGGCGAAAATACTTGGGGTATTGGTGCCAATGTCGTAACAACTCTGATCAACAAAGATGGTGACGAACGCGCAACACATACACAGAAGACGATACAGACGGGACAATAAAATTTCTTTTTCTTTCTTCAAAAAATGAACTTTACAAGTTTCTCATAGTATATTTGCGGTACTTTCACTGAAAAAAATTGATATTTGAACAAATTTGAGAAATATCCCAAATTCATTACAAATTTTTGCGTGGGTTATATTTTCATAGCTTTTAAAAAGTTAGCTATTTTTTGGCTTAGGAAAAATCTATCCTTGATAATAAAAATTTTTTAATTTAATCTTAACATTACTTTAAAGTCAGTATGTTGAAATTAATGAAAATTAACATATTTAAAACATAAATTAAATAAAGCTGAAATAAGTTCATTGTGCATCGAACATTCATTGATAAAACTTAAGTATTTGGAGCGTGGGTTTCGGATTATATTTTCAGAATTTCTATTAACAGCAAGGTTGAATCACCCAAGAAATTTTATTACTACTCTTACGCTGCCAATAATTTCATTTTTTTCCATGCTTCTACTCAACTTTGTATGTTTTTTTGAATGCTTGTTTACGGTCTTTGGCTGTTAAACTGTGTTTCTTCTTTCTTTTTCATTCTTTTCTTCACATCTGATGTTTTCACAATGTATTTTCATTACAGGCACTTAGGCAAGGAACACTAATCTCTTGTGATGCGGTCTCCGAATTTATCTTTGAAAAAATTGCACAATTCATTATTTCATCATGTTTAAGAAAACTAAAAGATGAGGATAAGATTAATGGAGATACATCTAATACACCAGATCAGTTTCGAAACGATTATTACCACCATTAGTAGTGGTAAATTGTTCTCTTCTTAATCGTTAGCTTATTTGATTTTCTTTGAGTTATTAACCATACTTCTGCTCTTGAGAATTGCTTCTTTACTAATTAAATAAATTTGTATTTTCCCTTTCAAAAGCATTCTCGTTCATGCAGAAAAATAAAAATATCTAAAATATATACTTTCGATTTTAATAAGTAATGGAAGAATTATGAGATGAATGCAATTAAACTTAATTCTCTGTCTTTTGAAGACAAAAATAAGTTTTCCGATATAAAGATAACTTCATTTTTGTCAAGACGTCAATTATTCTAACTTTATTCACCGATAGAATCATCTCGGTTTGTTCTCTTTGTCTTCTAGCACCTTTCTAAAAATGATAATTGCACATTTGGCGATACCAAGAAGTGTGTCTCTGAGAGAGTTTCTATTTGTATTGTTGGAAGCATTTCTCTCTTAAATCTTACAAAATGGGCATCTGCATTTTGGAACAATTCAATATAATATTTACCCCATTCATTGTTGTGGTAATGCAAATAGAGCACATGTTGGTTGAAACAATTCCATCATTTCTCATTTATGCAAAAATCAATGAAATCATTTCCATTGATATTTATCAAAGTTTGCAATTAAACTGTAACTAATGGGCAAATAGCTGTCACTTATTTGATGGCAATTTGTGTTCACAAAGATTACTGCTGATTTAGCTTTTTTTTCAGTTGCACAGAATTATCAGCTAACCACTCTTTTGAGTGGCACAGAATATCAGCTATCCGTCTTCTGTAACGCTAGGCTCATCATTTTTTTAGATTAAAAATATAACTGGAATTGCTTCCAATTTCACAAGATGTATTGTTTGTGACAGTCACAAAACATCTATGGATTATTAAAAGTGAAATGGGAATGAATTTCATAAATTTCAGATAATATCACCAAAATCCATTTCATAAATATTTGGAAGTTGTGGAACGGTTTGATAGTTAAAAGCACAATTTTTACCAAACAATTATGCATTGCTTTTAGGAAGGCATGTAATTAAATTTTGTGTTGGGAGCCCAGAATTTGTATTTGGTCGGGTTATTGCCGCATAGTTAATCAGCTATGTGTGAAATTTGATATTCATATTCAAAATTTAATTTCAATCATCAAAAGGCGTGGGAAGAAGCCTTCCATCACTATGATTTCTATCGCTCATAACTTCACTCGCTAGTAGTGGAATTAAATTGAACGAAAGGAATTGATTGGATCGAAATTGCTGAAATCGAATTGAATTCAGTTAAACATAAATTAAATGATTTGATATGATGAATATAATTGCAGCCGAAATTACCCATATTGAAATGACATTTCCTCAATAAGAATAAGAAGTTAATATCAATAGGATTGGACTTTACCCTTTACCATCATAGGATTGTTAGTTGGAACCAAGATTTTTATGAGTCATTTGGATGGGATGGTTGGGAAAAGTATAGAACTAATTACAGAAGTCTTCATGTAATATTACTTGTAATAAAAATGGATAATATCTTTATCTTTTTGAAGTCAAATAAGTGCCGCAATGATTACCGATTTGGCCGATCGGTGTATGATTGCTGCGCCATATCCAGCTGCGAGCGGATCTTTTCGATTTCCTTCGTGGGTAGGCGCATCTGTATGTTTGTAGAATGAGGCTTGTAACATGCTAATTTATTCGGATTATTGTGGATATATATGTTAATTTTAATAATGGCTTTGTTGGCATTCAAGGAAGAATGTATTAGAACTCCCTGTCAGCATTTATTTCATTTAGTTAAAATTACATAGAATATAACCAATCTACGTTAGTATCCCTTTCTTACAAGGCATAACGATCGATATCATTTAGCTATCATATATTTTAAAATCTTTTCAACTCAATTATCAAAGTTAATAATGCCAATAAAACAAAATGCAGAAAGCTTTTGCTGAAAAGAAATTTTGATGCTTGCAAATCGAAAGGTATAATTACATATGATAGTTTATATCTTTCATAAATTCGTGCAGTATTTGAAGTCAAGTTTATTTCCAAATTGAACAACTAAATGATAAACGAACGCTACGATCATTTGTTCTTCCTCTTTCCTAAATATAAGATTTTAATTTAAGTGATTGACAAGAATGTAACGTTCCTTCTTCACGATCACCTAAAAATGCCTAATGAGGATTGAATATTGTTGAATTAAACTTTCGAAAATCTTCCTCGAAATTTTGTACGATTAAACGATGTAAAACTGAATCATCATAAAGAGTGTGGAAGTAGAAAAGCTCAAATACTGACCATAATATCACTTGAAAGAATAAATTGTTAACCGAATGATGAATCCACTTATATAATTCTTTGATTGAATTAACAACACTTCTCGTTCCATCTCTTCTCGAGATCTCGAAATATGCTATCTTCTCTTTACAGCATCGTCTGTATCCCAATTTTTTTAAAGATTTATTTTATTCATCTATTAATGAATGAATTCATCAAATAAACAAACAGCTCTTATATTTTGATCAAATTCCTTTCATTTTTTCCGAAGCATTAAGTTATATTTATTGGAAATATATAAAAACAATAATACATTGTGATTAGTTTTTGTTTAATTCATTAATAAAACAAACAAAGTGATCGTACCTTTTTTTCTTGGATAGATTATTTGATTAAAAAGTGAAATTTGTGGAAATCAGAGCTTCTTATATCTTTGTAAAATATTTCACATCCAATTGGGATATCAATCAAATTGTAAAGCAATTACTAATGACTAATTATCTCAATACTTGTTTACTTGTTTGCCCTTATTTACTTCCATTTTAATTATTCAGTTCTTCTAAATAATCGAATTAACGGTAATATTTCTTCAAAAATGAAATTTACTCTTCGCAATGTGTTGAAATCAATTTCATATCTTACAAACAATTTATTCGACGATCGAAATCTTTTGTTTTTGGGATTTCAAGAAACTAATTTTCAACATGAATAGTGTCGTGATGATCAACCTATTCCGTGTAACATTTCATTTCATTTCAAATTTATAATTAATTAGTTTGAGTGCATCATAAATAAAATCCATCTTAATAAAGATAAATGAGGGGATGAGCTGAGGACGACTGCGCGAGAAGAAATCATTCGTTGGCCTTCTTAAGTGCTAATAAAATGACCAGGGTTTGTTTCATAGCTAAATCATTAAGAATTGTTATTAGAGGATGTTGACAACGGTACAGAGAGATAAAATGACTAATATATATATATGGAAGAGAGTGTAAGATGTGGGGAGAAATTGACCAAAGCTGTCCGGCATTAATTTAGCTAATTTGTTTTGATGCTTCAAATGTCTTCATTGGTTGCTCACAGTAGTAAATGAGCAATCACCGCCAATTGCTGAATGTAACTTTGTATTGACGAGCTGATGTTAATCTATCATCTCAATAAAATTTTCCCTTTCCCAATCGGTATCGCTCTTATCATTTTATCATTATAAAAAATATTCGGGAAATTGAGAAAAAGAAAAAGAGCGATTTTATTGCAAATATTTGACCCATAAATTTATCTTAGATATTTTAAAATGAGCTTATCAATTGGTATATGAATTAAGTGAGAGATATTTGTATCGTAGTGTTATCTCCATGTATTATTCAATTAAAAGTATTACAAATTATTATTTATTTCTATGTTAGCCTCAGATGAATCATTGCAAATAATGGCATAAATTAAATTTTGCTCCTAAATTCAGAATTATTTAATTAAAAATTTTAAACTTTAAATTTGAATTGAACATTGTTCTTCGAAAGCATTTAACTTCAAGCTAACTGATTTTTCAAGCTAGCCAACTGACTCCAAGCTAACTGATTTTCAAGCTAACTGACTTCAAGCTAACTGATTTTTGGAAAATATATTTGAGAGAATTTTTATAAGTTATGAAAAATTCCCATCTTCGTACAATTTATATCTCTCAAATATCGAAGTCCTATAATGCTTACATCACTGTTTGATAATAAATTAAATTAATGAAATCTCTATCCTCCCCTTCTTCTATTCCCGAATGAGTCATTTCCATTATTCGACACCAACATTTCATATTATACACACCAGTCAATAATTCCAAGATGTTCATTCTTTCAGAGCTATAAAGAAACCATATAATTAAAAGCCTAAGCATAATTCAATTACCATTTCTAGTTTCAAGCTGTCATCATTAATAGAGTGGTAAATCATGAAATACAATAGCTATTCAGATAGTATCATTAAATT